AAGCAAATATTTTATCACTTAAAACTTCATTTCAATATACGAGACATGTTCATTTTGTATTGAATGTTATTTATTCCATATCTAGATTAAATATTATTATAATATTACAAATACGGCGACGATTATCCCCACGCTGCTGTTCTGCTCTGCATAGCAAATACAGAGCGGTGACTCTCTCAATGAAAGCTCGATCAACATGTAAAAGATGGCCGCCAACGGTTTTGATTCTCATGCGCATAAATTTCACTTCAAACTTTAGTTTTTACACGCGTCAATTTCGCTCTTGACGCGCGAATGGATTCAAAGTGTTCAAGCGTATAACTACACGCGGCAGGCGCGAATTTGACGCGCTATTCGCGTCCGGTGTGAACGCACAGTTTTTTTTTATATATCTTTACCAAGGTTTCGCAGGCGCCAATAGTTGGGCCTTCCAGTTCACACGAGTAGTCGTTAAAGTAAGCGTTGTTCGTTGTCTGAACCACTGTAGACTGTGCTTTTAGGTTACATACGTTTTTTTGGGGTTCTTTGCACAAGAATCAATCTTTGTTTGAAAATGTATGAACCATGAAAGAGAACCGACTTGTCTATAAGTCAATATAATATATAGCAGAGCAGATGGTGCTTCATCATCAAGGGTGACAAATCTATCCAACCCCCTCAGGAAAGTTGGATTATTTCGACATTGACCCTGTTAGTATTTGAGGACCAGCTCTGGTCGTTGCAGTTATATTCTCTCATATAACTATGATGTAGCATAAAGAAAGATCATCAGGTCCATTAATATGTGATGCCATCATTATTACACGAATAGAGCCACTCAGCAGACACTTAAGTGCAGTCCTCAATATCCACAACACCACACCTTATCCATTTGTGTGATGAATCAGGCTGCAGAGTGTGTGTGCGCTTGTAGGTGTGTTGTGGAAAGAGAGAAAGGCCCAGCGAGAAAGATCAGGATATCACAACAGTTAGGATCCATTAGACCATTATTGCCTGAAACTGAATACACTGAGAGCTCGCCAGGGTTTCAGTTGCCCAGAATGAAGATGGACAGGACGCTCGATGAGCGTGATGATGGTGGTGTGCCGAAAGGCAGTTTCTCTCTCTCTCTCTCTCTCTCTCCATCCTAGACCAAAAGAGACAGGCCTGCCCAGTTAATCACTTTAGATCACGGTTTAGATGCATAAAATGACACCTTTAAGGCCCGTACACACCGGGACGAATATCAGCACGCGTTATTCAATTCGTTTTTTGTGTTCACACCCAAGCGATTTTCGCTGACGATGAGCCGAGTGAACATGCAAATTCATTCCCTGACATTAGATGGCGCCCATTCCATTCAGTTTTCTTTTATCAAGATGTTTGTAGTCGCTGTCGCGTTTGTCATATAGTTCTTTATGTTCTAGCACCAACGAGACCAGCAGCTCTACATTCATCTTGCCTCGCATCTTCCTCGTCTTATTTCTTCCTGGCTGTGTGGACGGCGACGCTACTTGGCGTATATCTTCTTCTCCATTCCGTATGTGTGCTCGGCAAGACCGTTTTGTGTTTGAGCGCCCCCAAGTTGTGTTTTACTGTAACTTCAGAAGCTCCAAACACGTGAGCAAATGCACCAATCTCATTGGTCGGATAGTTTTTGACGTGGCGCGTCAAACTAAAAAAAAACAAAGCTGAGGTGTTGTTTTTTTAAAATTACACTTTTACGCGTGGCGTTTTAACGCTGTGCACACTCACATTGGCGCCCTTTGTTTAGTCACGAGGCGTTAAACGTCGGTGATTACCGCACACGAAATTCGTCCCAGTGTAAACAGGCCTTTAAAGCTGCAGTAAGTGATTTCTGAGAAACATTGTCAATTTTTTTTCCCACCAAAACAAAACAAACACGTTCCTACCCAAAATGATCACACCCCTATATCAATAGCTCCGCCCCCAACTCCCCCTAATGAGTGGACACGCCCCTTATTGCCGACTGGCTACAAGTTTGTTTTGACACTCGGTCTGATGCACATTCAGACAGCGTTTTGAGAAACAGCGTTTCTCAGAAATCACTTATAAGTAAATTTCTGTATTGTCTGAAAGGGAAACTCAATACAAACCTAAAGCCAAATGTTGTTGTACTGCATGTGACGTTTTGTCTCCTGAAATTTGTACCGTGTTATCTTGCGGGAAATTATAACAAATGAAAAAGATAGTGGGAGAGAAAGGATTGAAAGCCTTGACGAACTCTAGTTGGAATGAAATTTCAGCTATAATGAACTCATTAGAGGAGATTTTTCTCTCTCAAAGCTTTTCATTTGTCATCTAATCATCGTTTATCTCACCGCTGCTCTTATTAGTTAGTCCTTCTGTCTTAACCTTCATTAGGTTTGGCAAAACATGTTTTTCTCTCCTCTTTTCCTCCACTGACTGAGTCTGATTTAACAGCTGTTAACAGCAGTCAGCAGATGTTTGCTTTATATGAGTTTATGTCTCTACAGCAGATCACGACACAACCTTCCTTTTATCTGCGATTTTCTGGGGACTGAATGAATCATCCTGATCCTGACCCTTGTGATTTTTATCTACTGCTGGTTTGGCACTTTCAGTGTAAGAATATGTGTGTTGAAAAATCATCTTGGATTTGTGGTGGACTGATATTTTCTGTCCTGATGTCCTGCCGACATCCGTGACTCAGGACTTTCACATGGGTTTCAGCGACAGGAAGAGTGATAGAGGAAGGTAATAGGGAAGGACAGATTGAGATTGTCAGTATAAAGCTGCATCTGTTGTCAGTGTGTGTGTTGGTCAGCAGGCTCTGGACTGCACTGAGAGACATTAACCTTGGCAAGGGTCAGACCTCTGCCAGTCACACCGGCTCAAGAGTGGCGCCGCACTGATGCAGTAAACAGGTGCAGGACTAGATACACATTTGAAGATACAGCAAGATCATAGATTTTTACTGTGGAATCAGTCTCCTGATATTTGATAATGACAAGAATTAATAGTTAAAATGATCCCTATAAACTTTAATAATATAAATAAATACCATATATATATATATATATATATATATAGATATAGATATAAATAGTCTATTTATATTTTTATTTAATTAAAAAAAATAATATTATATTTATATGATATATATATATATATACACACACATAAATATATATATATATATATATATATATAAAAATAGTCTATTGATATATTTTTTAATTAAAAAATGAACATTATATTTATATGATATTTATACACACACACACACACACACACACACACACACACATATATATATATATATGAAAAAAGTGTCTTTTCACATTTCTTTAAATTAAATTTTATTCAGCAAGGATACATTAAATTGATTAAAATTGGCAGTAAAACAAGCAAATTTCTATTTCAAATAAATTCCTTTCTTTTAAACTCTATTTATCAAATAATCCTGGAAAAAATTATCATGGTTTCCCACAATAATTTTAAGCAGCACAACTGTTTTTACAACATTTATAACAATAAAAAAAATGTTTCTTGAGCAGCAAATCAGCATTTTAAAATGATTTCTAAAGGATCATGTGACACAGAAGACTGGAGTAATTCAGCTTTGCATATACATTTTAAAATATATTAAAATAGAAAACCTTTATTTTGAATTGTAATAATATTTCACAATATTACTGTATTAAAAAAATGGAGCCTTAGCCTAAGACTGTAGTACATCATTCCTTAATTTAGCAGGTGCATAAAAATAATGTGAGAAGTGAAGTCGGGTCATAATAATTCATTGAATTGCAGGGTGTTCTAAACTCTTGAACATACCGGACACATGCCACACACACACAACACAACACAATCAGTGAGCTTAAATTGAAATATAAAATTGAGTTTCCCAGCCCCTGCCATCAGTGTCCAGCCATGTCATCTGCTGTTGGAATAAATAACCGTCACTGGATGAAGGGTTGAACACACACACACACACACACACCAGCTGTCGGAGGCGCCACAGTAATTCATTTGCAGTGCAGATGTTCTTTCAGGGCCAATGCTTCTAATTAGCTGCGTTCTTTTTTTAAATCCAAAGACCCCCAACATTTAATTAATTCAATGAAATATTAAAAATGCACGTGGAAAATGTTCATATAATTATCTGATCTGTCATTAGATTCATCAAATATTTTTTATTCTGGTTATATATAAACTAGGGCTGTGCAAAAATGAATTGCGATTAATCGCATCCAAAATAAAAGTCTGTGTTTACATAATATATTTGTGTGTGCTGTATATAATTATTTTGTATATATAAATACAAACACATGCATGTATATATTTAAGAAAATGTGTTATTCATATATAAAATATTTATATTTATATAATATAGATTATGTATTTATATATATATACAGAATTTAAGAGCAAATAATTCTTAAAAATATACATGCATGCGTTTGTATTTATATGTACAAAATAATTATATACAGCACACACAAATATATTAAGTAAACACAGACTTTTATTTTGGATGCGATTAATCGCAATTAATTTTTGCACAGCCCTAATATAAACCCTTTAGACCTGCATCCCTGTTCGATAGGCTACAGCATGCACATTTTCAGACGCATCCAACACTTTTAAGCCGCAGCTTTCGATTAGGATGTGTCTCGTTTGGTTTATTTTCTCTTTAGACAGCAGATAAAACAATTACTTCATCTGTGTCACTGAGCCTAGAGTGGCTAAAAGATGCAATTAGACCTTCACTTTGTGCTAATGTGGTTATCTGAAACCAATCGCATTAAAAACTGCTGCTCTCAGAACTTCAGGACAACTGATGACTGCGAGAAAACATCCTGCGCTTTAATTCTGCTTCATCTCTCAGGCCAGGGTTTTGGACTACTACTGTATATCATGCCTATTTTTCTCCCAAGAAATTCATTTATTTCAGCTGTTTTATTGTTTAGGCCTGTCCTTTTCATCGTACTAATCCCCCTTTCTTCTGTTTTCCACTGTCTCGTTCCTCATAGCCTGCTTGCTGCAGTCGGAGCTGGTGAATTATGAGCGGGTTAAGGAATACTGTTTGAAGGTCCTCGGACACCAGCAGGATCACTTTAAGGCCATGTACCGTGCTGGGATTGCCTTCTACCACCTTGGAGACTACGAGTGTGCCCTGCGTTACCTACGCGATGCCAAGTGCCGTGAACCCACAGGTGGGTTATGATCGCTTTAATATCATACACAGCGGCGCTTCTCAAATGGTTTTGCATTGTGACTTAAAGGAGTAGTTTCACTTTTAAAAAAAACTTTTTGCTAATAATTTTCTCACCCCCATGCCATCCAAGATGTCGATGTCTTTCTTTCTTCAGTCGAAAAGAAATTAAGGTTTTTGATGAAAACATTCCAGGATTTTCTCCATATAATGGACTTCATTGGGGACCAAATGGTTCAAGGTCCAAAAGACAGTCTTATGTCTTGTTTTATATATATATATTTTATTTCAGCTTAATTTCAATACATTTTAATAATAGTTTTAGTCAACAAAAATGAATCTTCTGCGACCCAAACGTTCAGAACCATTGATATATGTGCATGTCCATGGCTGTTATGTTATAAAAACTGGTAAACATTTACCTGTATGTATGTTTGTTCGTGTGCATGCTTACTGAAGCAACTAAAGATTTTAAGAAGGTTTAGTCTTACGCTGCGTTCACACTGCCAGCGACATTCATTTTCAATGGAGAGCTGGCGATTTCCGACAGTGACTGATGGCGATGCGACAAAGACAAGATATGTTTATTTATGCAAATGAAGAGCGGCAACAACCAATAGGATTCAGTGGAGCACATGTGATCCACCTATACATCCTGAAGTGGAGAGTGTTGCCGGTGTGATGTAGCAAAAGTATGTTCTGATTTCATTAATATTTAGTATTATATTTAGTAATATTTATCACGCAATTCTGACTTTATATCTCGCAATTCTGACTTTATATCTCGCAATTCTGACTTTATATCTCGCAATTCTGACTTTATATCTCGCAATTCTGACTTTATATGAAGCAATTCTGACTTTATATCTCACAATTCTGACTTTATCTCGCAATTCTGACTTTATATCAAGCAATTCTGACTTTATATCTCGCAATTCTGACTTTATATCTCGCAATTCTGACTTTATATCTCGCAATTCTGACTTTATATCTCGCAATTCTGACTTTATATGAAGCAATTCTGACTTTATATCTCACAATTCTGACTTTATCTCGCAATTCTGACTTTATATCTTGCAATTCTGACTTTATATCTCGCAATTCTGACTTTATATCTCGCAATTCTGACTTTATATCTCGCAATTCTGACTTTATATCTCGCAATTCTGACTTTATATGAAGCAATTCTGACTTTATATGAAGCAATTCTGACTTTATATCTCACAATTCTGACTTTATATCTCGCAATTCTGACTTTATATCTCGCAATTCTGACTTTATATCTCGCAATTCTGACTTTATATCAAGCAATTCTGACTTTATATGAAGCAATTCTGACTTTATATGAAGCAATTCTGACTTTATATCTCACAATTCTGACTTTATATCATGCAATTCTGACTTTATATCTCACAATTCTGACTTTATATCACGCAATTCTGACTTTATATAAAGCAATTCTGACTTTATATCAAGCAATTCTGACTTTATATCTCACAATTCTGACTTTATATCTCGCAATTCTGACTTTATATCAGGCAATTCTGACTTTATATCACGCAATTCTGACTTTATATGAAGCAATTCTGACTTTATAACTCACAATTCTGACTTTATATCACACAATTCTGACTTTATAACACACAATTCTGACTTTATATCTCACAATTCTGACTTTATATCATGTAATTATGATTTTATAACACGCAATTGCGACTTTATATCTCGCAATTCTGACTTTATATCTCGCAATTCTGACTTTATATCTCACAATTCTGACTTTATATCTCACAATTCTGACTTTATATCTCACAATTCTGACCTTATATCAGGCAATTCTGACTTTACATCTCGCAATTCTGATTTTATATCTCGTAATTCTGACTTTATATCACGAAATTCTGACTATTTCGCAATTCTGACTTTATATCACGTAATTCTGATTTTATATCACACAATTGCGACTTTATATCAGGCAATTCTGACTTTACATCTCGCAATTCTGATTTTATATCTCACAATTCTGACTTTATATCACGCAATTCTGAGAAATAAAGTCAGAATTGTGAGACAAAAGTCGCAATTACCTTTTTTATTTTTCATTAAGTGGCAGAAACAAGCTTCCATAGAAAGCTGATATTCTCCATGTGTTTTCTCTCTGTCTCCGGTCAATTCATTTGTAAATTGCATGAGCTTATTTTCTCCATTAGATTGAAAGATCTGAAAAAGAGCGCCCATAGACCCTCCCCTCGAAGAAATCAGGACAGAAGTGATTGAAAGTAGACAAAAGAGACAGATTAAAACACCAGGAGTAAACTGGTTTGTGTCTCGCTCATCTTTCTGTGATGCGTTCAAACAAAACGATTAACCTGGTATTAAATCTTAAAACCAGGTGTAAAAGTCACTGGCAGTGTGAACGCAGCTTGATGCTGTTGTCTTTATTTCTTCCTCTCTTGCACTTCTTATTTTCTGCACTTCATCTTCCCTCTATCCAGACACAAACGTGCTGCGATACATCCAGCTGACGGAGATGAAGATGAGTAAGAGCAGTCATCAGGTGCGTGAGAGCGGGAAAGAGTCCTTGGGTTAAAGACGCCCACTGCTCCGCCCCTCATGCCTCGCCATAACCCTGATAGAAAACCTCTCCTCTCGAGTCTCTCCCCCTTTTCCCACAATGCCCCCCATCCCGTGGACGACCAGGACACATGTGCCGCGCCCCCTTCTGAAAGCGGACTGAAATGGGCACAGCACCCAGCGTCTGTCTTTTCTCGCTCTGTCCCTTTAAATCCAACGAGAATCTGACCGATGAAAAAAGAGGAAATGCTCTATTATAATTGTATAAACACTGACATTAGAATTTAAAACGACATGATCGAATAAGGAAATGTGCATAGTGAAAAGCATGGGTGGCTGAGTTGAGTGTATAGAGTGAAAGCACACGTATCAAAGCCACACACTTGCCGATGATGAAGGTCAACGATTTGGATAGTGACCTTTGAACTCACTCTGATCCATTGAGAAATCCCCTCTCTACTCAATACAGAGGAAAAGCAATGTTTCACAACTAGATCTCACGCTCGCCCGTCAACGCCTGTTGCTTCGTCTCCGTTTTCTCTCTCTTGAATTTGGGCATATCTCAACTCAATTTCAATTCAAGGGCTAATTCAAGTGTTTGTAATTTGTCCTTTGATTATGTTTGACAGTTTGCTGTACTAAAGTGGCTTGAGCGAGTTGTTATCTTTCCCTTTCTCAAAGGTACGACATTCTCCGTACTGATGTTAGCAGGTGTTTTGTGAACCTCGTTGTCCATTTCCCTTGTATTGGACTGTCGCTTAGCCCCGCCCCTTTAAGAGCTTCCTGATGATGTCACAGTGGTTATGCAGCCTGTTGGAATATTAATAACTAATGCGGGATCCAGTGCTTGATAAGGTCTGTGAAACTTATTATATATTTAACCCAGACATCAGTGTTACAAAATAGCGATAAGTAAAATTGTAGTTGTGACAACCATTAATGTTTCACAAAAGCATTAAGTGTTTGTCCTCCTCTTCATGGTTTGTTATGAAAACTCTGATGATCTTTTGTTGAATGCAGATGCCTTTGACAGCTCATGTCAGTCTAGTTTGGATTAATGGCTTTGAGAAGATGAAATTATCCATCTGACCTAATATGAGGCAGATCTAATTGTGTCAGTGGGACTCAGGGGATTCAGATGAGAAGACGCACTGATGAGATTCAAAACCAGTGAATCTCTTTATTGCTGTGGCACTGATAAAATAAGGTGCATCGTTATTTTTTCCTCATTCAAAAGTTTAATACCTACACTGAGCAGAACTTTTAGTTTATATAATAAAAGTGATGAATACTCACATGCAATCAAGACTCCGGTCATATCAGTAGTCTAATAAAAGCTGATTTATTCCACATGGAGTGGGTTGCCCATTTATAGGGGCCGCCATGTTGAGATCAACATGTCTAATAGTAATAAAGACAACAATATCAACAATAATAATTAAAGCCAGACCGATTTATCGGCAGGCCGATATTAGACATTTTCCGAATTATCGGTATCGGCATTTATAATGGCCGATAAATGAATATTTCAAAAATAAAATAAAAACGGACGAAACACGCTTCAACCATGTCATGAGTGTTGGAGTTGTATAGTTTGTCCACCAGAGGGCACTCTACACCATCCCTGTTGGCAACACTCGTGTATAACGTGCCACACATCCTGCAACTTGATGGAGGATGAATTAAAGAATTAAAAAAGTGCAGGTAAAGGGATAAGAAAGCTGACATTGTAATTATAAGGTAGCTTATGTAGGGACTAATTATTATTTTATTTATCAGAACTTTAATATATTTTGATGTTCCTCTGTTCTGTTGTGACAAAAAAAAAAACAAGTTTCTTTTTAAAATGCATTAGTTAAAACTCATAAATAACTAATGTTAGGGAAATCAGTTAATGTTTTGTTGCGCGTTTCTGAAATAAAAATAAAAAATATCGGCCGATATATCGGATTTTAAAACCAACAAATATTTGTATCGGTATCGGCCTTCAAAATCTTTTATCGGTCGGGCTCTAATAATAATAATATGTTCATTATAATATAGTACTTTTTTTTAGTGCTCAATGCACTTCACGAAGCAAAAACAAACAAATATATAATAAATATCATACATCCTCACCAGTAGGTGTCAGTGCATCTCTAGAATGAATTTATTCACACTTTATTTTGACATTCTGTTGACTAAGTAGTACAATGGCTTTAGCTTTGGTGTTAAAATGTCAATGTGAACCAGGACAAATTTTGGTCCGGACCAAACGAACTGAACTACAAGTGTGAACACACCCTAATACACTAATGAGAGTTAGTTGAAATGTAGATGCAACGGTACTTATAGTCAACAGAATGTCAGCTCAACAAATTGGCAGTGATCTATTTCTGTGCTGGTCCAACCCAATCCTCATGGGATAACTATTTTGCGTGGTGGCAATTTCGTATGATGTGATTTGTACGGAAACGTACGATTTTTCGGAAAAAAGTTAGCATGAAGTTCATCCTATAACCCGACCCTTAAACCTAACTCTCAGTGGGGTGTAAGCAGATCGTACGAAAACCTTACAAATGAGATTTTACCAATTCATACACCAAAATGTAACGTGGTTACGAATTGCCATGAGAGTCCTTTCCTTCTTTCCAGCTGTCTCGTCTCCTCTGTTTTGTGGCAGTTCTCTCTCCACCTTACCTTTGATATGTTCTTCTGTATTTCTGTACATGATAAAGGTCATTTCATCTGTAACCTTGGCAATGTCCTGTAAGGAATATCGGTCAACACCTTTGCTTCTTTCAGCTGTGGTCCATATATGTCCCCATGTGCTGGATCTCTTTCTGCACAGATGGAGAAACATTAAATCTGACTGAACAAAAGCACAAACTGGTTTATGGACAAGCAAATAAACTTGACTGTACTTTACTTTTTCTTGGATGTCACTTGAGGTATGTGTTTGTTGAATGTCAAAGTAGACTTGTGCGGTTTAAAGACATATTAAAATGGTTGTCGAAAGCTTTACTTTATTAAATTGTTTCTTTTTTATCAATATGTGAGAGAGCAAATGAAAAGGATATTTATGGAAAATATATTTAACATTGTGAGGGGCAGCTTTGTACCTGTGTATATGTTGAGTTTTCCTCTTGTATCTTGGCTTATTTGTGATGTCTTAGCCTTGTTTTTTTTTGTCTGATTGCCAGTCCAAGGATTCAGGGTTTGCCCTTTGACCTCCAGAAAGAAAGGTCTGGGGTTGCAATAGGGATTTCGCAGAAGAGGAAGAAGGGGTGAGGGTACCCTACTGTCCTGAAAGAGAGAGGAAAAATCCACTGGTTTCTTTTTCCTTTTTTTCTTGCCTGTTCTGGAGAGAGAGAGAGAGACTTGGACCCTCCGGACTTGGTTGTTCCAGTAACTACAATGTTAATGCATTACTGCAGTCATTCAATGCCTCTTTGGGAAGTACTCTACATGCTTCCACAGGACATCAGAAGACCGGCGAACTGCAAATGTTTACCTGCAAGTCAGTCCAGGAATGCACTATTGATTGGTTTATGAAGTCTACAAATAAAGTTTAAAAAGAGAAACTTTTGTAAGTGTATTTTTTTGCATGCAAAAAACAAACATTTAGAGTAGAAACACAATGACAAGGACGATACAGCCCAAACAATTCCAACAAAAAGTAAATGACATTCTGATAATGAGAATTGAACTATTTAGGGTGATGGATCCATGTTCTCATTCTGTCTACGCCAAATTCTGAATGTCTCAACAGAAATCGAGACTCGTCAGACCAGGCAACATTTTTCCAGTCTTCAAATGTCCAATTTTGGTGAGCTCTTGCAAATTGTAGCCTCTTTTTCCTATTCCTATTCTGCTGTTGTAACCCATCCGCCTCATAGTTGTGTGTGTTGTGGCTTCACAAATGTTTTGCTGCATACCTCGGTTGTAACGAGTGGTTATTTCAGTCAAAGTTGCTCTTCTATCAGCTTGAATCAGTCGGCCCATTCTCCTCTGACCTCTAGCATCTATAAGGCCTCGTTTACACTGCATGGTTCAAGTGACCCAAATCCGATTTTTTCCTCTCATGTGGCACAGATCGGATATGACCAGTGAACGTGTAAGCAGGAAAAAAACGCATGGATTCTGATTTTCTCAGATCGGATTCAGGCCTCATTCATATGTGGTAATAAATCGGATATGAATCAGATACGTGCATTTGCGTGTGCCATGTAAGCAGACAAATCGGATATTCCCCGGTAATGCGAGTCGTACGTCATTAAAAACTGCGCGATAGGCGCGAGCCACGCGATGGAAGAAAGGATACACACAGTGGAGCAATGCGGAGGTTTCATGTCTTTTGAGTGTTTGGGGTGAAGAGTGCAGGCAAAAAATGCAGGGTTGTTACAGAAATAAATCCGTTTTTGAAGACATTTCACGAGATATGAGGCATCGTTTTAAGTGCTCATGGCCAGAGCCTCTCCTCTTTTTTTCTCCGCCGTACGAGACCAATGTTTTGATGACTTATTGAAATATTGTGGAAAGAAAACACACTTCGCATCTGCATCCATTGAATTTCGTGCTGTTTTGCTTAATTTCCCGGTTCAGAACCGTCAGAACGTATGCATTTGGTAGTTTCAGCAGTGGATAGTGTGAATGCAAAAATCGGATATGGGTCACTTTTAAAAGATGATGTAAGCAGGTCGTCAAAAAAATCGGATATAGTCAGAAAATCGGATTTGGGCATCAAGACCTGCAGTGTAAATGCAGCCTAAGGCATTTTCAATGCAAGGCACACCCCTAAATGCACTGAAGCAACTGCCATGTGATTGGTTGATTAGATAATTGCATTAATGAGAAATTGACCAGGTGTTCCTAATAATCCTTTAGGTGAGCGTAGAAAAAGAGAAAATGCTGCAGTGGAATGCAAAAATCTGAACAGAGAAGCGTCTTGTGAGTTGAGACCTTGGGTCGTACCTCCACTGCCCTGGATCTCACGTATTTTCATTTTCAAGCAACTTTGTAATTGTTTATCTATGTAAACATTCACTTTATACACTGTTAGACCTTACCAGTTTTTTTACAGTAAAATACTGGCAACACTGTTGCCAGTAATTTACTGTAAAAATGCACTAAAACTCAAGTTAACTAAAAAATACAATTTATTAGTTTTAGTGCATTTTTACAGTAAATTACTGGCAACAGTGTTGCCAGTATTTTACTGTAAAAAAAACTGGTAAGGTCTAACAGTGTAAGTGTCTTTGAACATTATGCTCACGTCTGGTGTCTTTTGAAGCATCCCACATATCAAGCGATGACAAACGAAAGCTAAAATGTTGGTCTGAAGCTCACACAAAACTATCAGATGGCTTTGAAAGCATTTTAATGTGTTATATTGACTACTTTTATCGTACTGTTTGTACATGTTAGGCTTGACAACCACTGAGTTTACAAACAATCTTTGTGTTCATAAATGTCGACATGAGTGTGAGTACATGATGCCAGAATATAAATTGCTTTTAATGGACTATTGCTTTAATGTGCAAACAGTCAAGGTGTTGTACAAGCAGACAAACACACCACAGATTTGGTGTTGTAAGAGTGGAACTACAAGTCTCTCCCTCCACCCTGTCATTTTGTGCCTCTCTCTCTCTCTCTCTCAGCGGGACATGCTGTGTCTGTCACCACTGACTTCTTTCCATAATGACATCCAGGGCTTTAAATGTAAAAGGTGAGCGAAATTTGAATACTTGAAGAAAAGCATACAGGGGGAATAGATGATGAGAAAGGAAATCTATAAAGCAATTACAGAGCAGACCTTAATTGCGCAACTGACAAAATCCTTTGTATTATCAAAAAAAAAAAAAAAAAGAGGATGCTGATCAGTTATGGATGGCCAGTTTGTATATTATTAGGAATCAGAGAGGAATAATTTATTGAATGGAAATTATGTTATACTAAAAACAATGTTTTACAGCAGAAGACTGTAAATAAAGGATGTTAAATCTAATATTCAATGCATTGTACTATACATCTGTGGAGGTCAAAATAGGTTCTTGTGTGTAATTATTTTGACACACTCCTTAGCAAATTTCTGGCATTATCACTGTCTTCCCATTTTCTTTGTTGTTGCTTTTTATAGCATTGCCATGGAAGTGGATTGTGGTTGCTAAGTAACTGGCTGGCGTCTGCTTCTGCTTTCTCAGACAAGAGCAAAGCTATGTGAGTGTTTGAGTGTGTGTGAACACGGGCAGTGCAGTGGTGAGTCTAAGGCTGTTATAGTTTATTGTATGAAAACAACTCTGGTCAGCTTTTTTTATTGGACTTCATTAGTCAGCATTTTTTCCGAGTCAGGCCCAGTTTAGCATTTAAAGTGTTAGTTCACTCTAAAAATGAAAATTCGTGCATTAATTACTCGCCCTCATGTCGTTATAAATATTAAAGGTAGGGTAGGCAATTTTCAGAGAGGCTAACAATAGCCAGTTAGCTTTCAAAGCATTAATCCCACCAAAGCCATGCCTTCTTCAAAGCACATGACAGCAGAGTTTGCAAAGCAAAATGTATGTACATTTTTAGAATAATAAATGTCTTAAACACAACAATACGCCATCGCATTCGCAACTCTCCTATGATTAAAGGCGACACTTCCGGTTTTCTTCCCACCGGAGCCATTTCAAAATGGCGGCTGCGTGAAATCACCTGTTGACTATCACAGTCCCACTTGTGGGATATCTGGCGCTGTTTTTATTATTGCCTTTTTTATATCACATATTTTAGTAATCATCATAAATTAGGTATATTATTCAAAAGCCTACGAACTAATTAAAATTCATCCCTTGAAAACCATTTTAAAATTGATACTTTAAATTATTTTAGCAGGCTCCTCATATAGTGGGTGGTGTCAGGTTTACAAAATATACTTTATAATCAAAACCTTTTCCAATCTTGACAAAACACATTTTGTTGTAAAGATTTCAAGTTTCCAAGTCTTAAGGTTCCATATTTGGCAACTATTTTGTGATAGAAGTTATATTTGGACAGAAATGTATTAATTTGTTACAGGGGAATGCATCTAGCTGCTAAAATCAATGGAATGTGGATGACACCTGACGGCTATTTTTAATACAAATCTCATAGCAACTAAGATTTTTGTGATATCAACTTAATATTTGGAACACAACTAGATATAATTATGGCTTTGATTTTTTTGTAATTTTATAGTAAACCTTATTTTGTTTTTACTATATAAAATTATTATATTTTTTAAATGTATATTGTAGTAGCCTAAAGCCTACCACACAATACAAAGTTTAATAGCTACAGTCCTTTTGATATACAGATTATTTTTAAGGGCTTTCACTTAAGTAAAACCAGACCAAACTTTAAGGTCTATATTTCAAAGCATGGATAGTGCATTTTCATGGAAACGAAACGGTCCAGCAAACACAGAACGTACCCCTAACGTCCCGAATGGTCCCATGAGGTAATTTTTTGGGAACCAAACAAGAACGTTATAGGTTCCATGTAGGTTATTTTTAGGTTCCATTTTATAACGCAAGGAGAATGTTCTGGGGGAAAAAAAACTTAACGTTCCTAGAACGTTCCCAGAAACTAACTTTGTTTGCTGGGAGGTCGGTTTTGTTATCGAACAGTTTGGGGGTGTGTGGATTGTAATTAATTAAGTATATATTCAAAATAATTCTCTATGGAGAGGAATACCTCAGTGTGGGATCTTCCCTTTGTCCTCGGAGAACAGTCGCTGATGTAAACAGACCAGTGTCTGTGCACGTGCACGATGGAGCTTCTTGTGTCATGCTTATATGCTATTAAAGGTACATTATTTAAACCGTTTCTTTGAAAATGTTTGTCATCGACATTATTTATTTATTTTTTTTAAAAAGAAAAAGCAAACGGAACTGATAATAACGAGGCCGTTGTATTTGTGCTTACTTGAAACAAGCACAAAACAACATTCATTCTAGGAATCCACTTGGATCACGCGTCATAACTTGCAGTGCGGGACTTCGTCGCCATCTAGTGGGCATTTAAAAAAAATCTCGACCTGGCTTTATTTTTTATTATGGGAATAAAATTATGCATTGGGCTTGAATTCCTTCTCATTTTGAGACATGTAAGATCCAAAATCCTCACCATAACAGATCTGCTATAAGATCTTTAGGCTACATATATGACAGAAAATGACAAATATGACAGAAAATGGGTTTCAAAACCAACATTTCACTGCTTGTAACAATTATTTTAATAAATACTCTTAGTGTTCCTCACACAGGAAATAAGGTGGTGGGTTTGTTCAACCCTCCTGCACAGAGAATTACTCCATACAAATGATAACAATATGAACACAAAAACACATGCACACACACCCGCCCGCTCACACACACACATACAGACATACTCATTGGTGGACAGTCAAAAAAAAATACTGTCTACTACCAGGTTTAACGGTTCAGAACAACGAATTTGAAAACCCTCCAAGTGTGTGTTTCTCAGCACCGTTCAGTCCATCCAAAGAACATCCACATCATCAGTGAGTGATCTCATGTGCCCTGACATGACACGTGTCCTCTGTGTACATACGTACTGTTCCTTTCTCTTCGAGTTGAATTGTTCAGTTGCTGGAGGAAGAACGTCACTTCAGGAGGTAAGGAACACACTCATAGAAACAGGTACATGTTTGCTATTTATTGCCAATTACAAAAACCCTCATGTTCCCATTTCTGTCCTTCTCTCCTCAGGAGCTGGCATTTAGTCTGATTTGATGTCGAGAGGGGGAAGGAAACTCTCGAGGAGAATAAATGAGCAGACTCATCCTGACACGCACAGTAAGAGGCACTTTCCAGGAATACGGTAAAAACAGCTGAAGTTGTTGGAGGGCAAACTAATTACATCAGCCGTTTTATTCATTTTTCTGTAAGATTTGCAACTCTGTTAGCAAATTTTGGGGAATATACACAACTGTTAAAAGTTTGGGGGTCAGTGAGATTTTATTTGTTGTTAAAGAAATTAGTATTTTTATACAACAGGAATGCATTCAAATGTGAAATTTATAAATAAAAAAATAAAAAAGGGAATTGTGACTATCTCAGGATTGTGTGATATAAACTCGCAATTGGAAAATTTTGGGAATTGCGAGTTTATATCCCTTTAAGTAGATATCAACAACAAGTATATATAGGATCTAAAAATTCTGTTTTGATCAGGAATAAATGAATGAATAAATAAATAAAAAATATTAAAGTAGTTCATACTTCATAGTTTTTTGGATCAAATAAATGCAGCCTTGGTGAGCAGAAGACACTTTAAAAAAAACATTCAAAATCATAATGCCAAACCTTTGAACACTAGTGTAGAATTGTTTGGGATCAATAAATACAGTTTAAAACCCTGGTTCATTTGATTTAGTTATTTTCTTGCAATAAACATTACAAATAAATTGATACAATTGATCACATAAAAAAGGAAAAATGGTTGTGATAAATAAAGCTGTCGAAGTTAGCGAATAACCCATTTATTTTCCAAAAATTAGAAACTATTTAGATCATTTTTTCTGGTTACTGTTTAAAATTGAGCTGGTCATGCAGTCAACAATGTAAAGATTATTTAATATAATTTTCTTTGACGTTAAATATTTTGTATTGGGAGGAAGATCATGCAAATTTTTGCTCATTAAAATGTACTAATAAACTAATTTAATACCAATATTACAGAATTGGTCAAACTATATTTGGTGGGACCAAAGGCCATTTTAATAAACTGGAATACAAATATTTAATGTTTTTTTAAAACAACCTGCTTTTCATGATTGGTTCAACAAAACGTAAAAAAAAGTGTACCCTATTCATGAAAAGTGCCAAGTACACATGGAGAGAAAGTGTCTGCTCATGGTTAATTTCACATTTCGCACATGTGATTAGGTCGAGTCAGAGAAAAAAATATAAAATTCTTATAGTACACCTATTTTTATATCCGTATATTACAATGAATACATCTCCCTGTGTCATTGCAGTTAACTGCATACACGATTCTCCTGATTATAATTACAGAAAGCATCACTGAACTTTACACTGAACACACTGGAGGGAACTTGGCCGAAAAGCAGGTTGTGTCCACAGAGACCACGATGAGGAAGAGGCCGGAGATAAGAACGAGACGAGGAAGGTCACAGGCCTACAGTACTCCTCCACATGTGATAAAGCTTCTCACTAGAGGCCGCTCGGACACGACGAGTCACTGAAAACCTATTAACCGCTATCCAGAAGGCATATGTCTACCACATCAGAGCTGCCTGTGTTCTTAAGGGATCACAGGGCAAACTGTGGGGAAACCTCTTCCGAGAGCTGCTTTAGGGGGCATCGGCACAGGTGGTGGGGCTTCTATGAGAAATTTTGAGCGCATAGAGTGGCTTGCGGGCGTTTTCCGCACAGGGGAACGGTGCTGTCCTGGCTCTGGCCCTCCATGTCCATGTCCAGAAGGCTCTGACGGGCGGCGCTCACTCCACTGTCACCCGAGCCCAGCGGACTGTCACAGCTGCTCCCTGGAGATGAGCTGAGCGTCTGTGACCGGGACGAGAGTTTCCACGGGTCCGGACGCGCCCGAGCTGGGGTGGGTCGAGGGCGGGGAGCGAACTCCAGGGTTTTGGGACGCTCCAGCGTTCCCGTGTGGATGTCCGGCTCGGGCACGGGAATTGGAGGGGGGGGTTTGCGCCGGTGGGCCGAGGGGTAGACCGTAGACGGGTCGGGTAGGCGTGGAATGTCAAGAGTTTCACGAGAACCTGAACACATGAACGACATGATAGGCTCAGTAAATGACGTTATCCCACACATTTTTATCCCAGAATTCTATTTAATGATACTTATTTTTGCATTATTGATAATTATTTCCTCCTCAAGTGTACATTACCATAAAGCAAAAAAATAAAATAAATAAATACATCTGAAATGTCATTACTGTGATACAAAAATTATATTTTTTAAAAATCATACATTTTAATATCATGTATAATATAATGAAAAATGTATTACAGTAATTCGAATTACTGTCGAGAATAATGGGAATTACAAAAAAAAAAAAAACAAAATTAAAACAAATTTGGGTGGTTTCTGAATATTGTCTTTATGCTGATTATTGTATAACCATTAGAAAAAAATCTCATTCTCATTACTGTAATATATAATATATACACAATATATGCAATATACAGCAATAATAAATGTATTATATTCAGGAGAATCACTCTTGATTACAAAAACATTAAAACAAGTAATTAGATTTCCAAATTATTTTAAAAGATCTTCTTTATGCAAATATATAGAAATCTATATGAAATCTATTTTATGATCATTGCAAAATTGATATAATCACTGTTAATATGAAACAAATAACACATTATTGTAAATATTTTAAGCATATATTATGTATGCAAATAGTATTGATATTAATGAAAAACACTTAAGATTAATGGGAATTAAAAAAAATTCAAACAAATCTTAGTGGTTTTAAAATATTGTCTTGACATAGTAGTGACATTTACTAAAGAACCATTGCAACAACAACAAAAAAAAAAAAAAATTCCTGTAAATATTTGAAATGTTTTAAAGTACTTCCACATCATGGAAGTATTATTTAGTTATATAGTTATACACTATAAAACGTTGAGTTCAATCTTAGGTTTATGAAATCTATTTTATGACCTTTGCAAAACTGTATATAAAAAACTGTTAATTATAAATATTATAAATATTTTAGGCATATATTATGAATGCGAATCATATTGATATTAATGAAAAACACTTAAGATTAATGGAAATTACAAAAAAAGTTCAAACAAATCTTGGTGGTTTTAAAATATTGTCTAAACATTTACTAAAGAACCAAAAAAATCGCATTACTGTAAGTATTTGAAATGTTTTAAAGTACTTACACATCATGGAAGTATTACTTATTAAAACGTAATTTTGCGACGTGATTCGAAAGGTTCACACAATAACGACTAGCATTTAAAATCTAATGTAAAATGTCTCATTTGACGTTACCAATGAGTGTACCTTTAAATGAGACGATGATGGGGGCTGTCGTGGGGGGGAAGGGCATACTCCCGTCAGAAGGGGTGCGTCGATGTCCCACGACCGTCTGCGCCCGAGGGCGAATGGCCCCGTCCGAGGGTGTGCGCCGGTGCCCGCGGTTTAACGCCATCGCCACAGAGACGTGTGTGGGTGTGAGGGACTGGTTGGGCTCTCGTTTGAAGCTCTCCGCCTTCAGGTCCAGCAGAGGGTTCAAAGAGGGCGCAGGAGACACCCCCGGATGAGCACCACTGGGGGTCGGGGTGAAGTCTTCAGGATCAGACGGTAACAGTGACTTGGTGGAGTTGCAGTCGGACAGGGAGGACAGGGAGAGGAGGGTCACGGAGGGAGACGGGTCCGTGCTGGGCAGGTTGGAGTCGTGATGCCGGTTGTGGGACAGGGAGAGGGACAGGGTCCGGCTGGGAGGAGAAGTGCTGCGTCTGAATCGACCCGTGTGCTGGAACAGGCCCTCCTTCTTCTTCTTCTGCTCCTCTCGCGGGTCCTGCTCATCTTGAGTCATCTGTACACCAATCGATGGATAATGTCACATGAGATCAACGTAAGGTAAAAATAAATTGATTATTCCAAGGGGTTCATTAATTGCATGGATGTCAATTATCACCATATATTAATATCTATGAGTATCTATGCAATATATATTTAAAAAAATTGCATTGTCATTACAGTAAATAAAAATAAAACAATAATACATAATATTTGTAATATATAGATTTGTAACATTATAGAAATATTTGTGGCACTTTATGCAAAAAATAGCATCTAATTTTGCAATGAAATGTGTGTATATATATATTAGTGCTGTCAAATTGGTTAATAATGATTAATCGCATATAACAAAAGTTTGTATAAATGATATATGTGTATATATATTAGTATGATGTGCATATATACACACATTTTATATATATATATATATATATTTAACATATTATATATAAATATAGTTTATATCATACACACAAATATTTAAATATATATACATTTTTTGTAAATTTAAATAAATAATAAAATACTTACATATTCAATTAAAATCCTTAATTTGCATATTATATATTATATATATATATATATATATATGATGTATATGTGTGTGTTTGTCTCTCTCTCTCTCTCTCTCTCTCTCTCTATATATATATATATATATGCATATATACACATATATATATATATATATTTAATATATTATATATAAATAGTTTATATAATGTACACAAATATATACAAATATAGACATTTTTAAATTAAAATGAATAAAATCTACTTACATATTCAATTAAATTCATTCATTTGCATAAATACAGTACAATTAAATGTATAATAATTATTAATTAAAGAATTAATCAATATTTGCAATCTTGTTTATGACGTATAAATAAAAAATCGACAAAAACCCCCCCCAGCTATGTCCAGCTATAATCTGTTCTTCTCTTTTCTTTCATTATTTTCTTTCTTTCCCACACTCTCACTCTCTAACAGTGTGTGTGTGTACCTGTTGTCGTCCCAGCTGGAAGACGTCGGCACCGAGTCCCACAGCTGCCAGTATGGAGGCACAGCCCAGCAGCAGAAGCTCGCTCTTCTTCCTCTGACCGCAGCGTCGCAGCGTTGAGTCCTGTGAGCCTGTCCCCGATCCTGAGCCCACCTCCTCCATCGCTCCGTTACTGCCCAGCTCAGGAGCCAGACGTCCTGGAGAACCGTCATCCAACTCACAGTGCTCCTCTACACACAAGATACGGGTGGTGAAGTAACAAGGCGAAACAGGCCATGAAATTACTATGCCAGTTATTAATTTGTTAGTTGTAGTGTTGGGTCATAACAGTCATCAAATCTGAGTGTCTATAAGAAGAACGTGACTCTGACTCACCCATTTCATTCAGACTTGAGAATCCAGCTGTTATAGGAGCATGTTTTGGGGACTTCCCCAGATTTGGAGCACTGGAGGACCACACCTTGCCCTCGCCAAGTGATTTTAACCTAAAAAAAAAGTGCGGTGGATAAGACATATACCTTTGGTGTGAGAGACCCGGGTTCGAATCCACTGTGAGACACCAATGAGTCCCTGAGCAAGACACTTAACCCCTAGTTGCTCCTCTGACATATATAGCAATTGTAAGTCGCTTTGGATAAAAGCGTCAGCTAAATGAATAAATGTAAATGTAAATACGGTAGGGGGCGCTGTTACACATCTTCTGAAAGAGTACAAAATCTCCTGATCAAAACACAGGCGAAAAAGTAGCAGAAACAAACGATAGCATATGTAATATACATCATCAACATTAAAGGGCGTATAAATCAAAGGTGCCTGATGTCACTGAATGAAATGTTAGGATAATGACGGACTCGATCTATGTTTTAATCATCGTTCTGAATCAGATCTGGACGTAGTCTTTGACAAAAACGTGATTTTTCTCAGCCTTTGATGTTGCTTTTTTATGAAATTTCCCACAAAACGCTGGCGGGAAAATATTTAATATCCTTCAATATCCTTTTGGTGTACCTGTCCTCCCCCCCGACTCTCTCCCGCTGATGTGTGGAGCTCGGTCCCCATGTTCGGCCCTTCTTCTTGGTCCCGAGGTCCTCTTTCTTACACACTGCCGTCCGGCCCCACGTCTTCCTCCCATCACTGGGTGTCACTAGACCACACATACAAGTGATGGCAGCAATATGAACACATTTCAGAAAATATTCAACTGTTTTAGCAAACGACATATTATTGCTATGAAACTCTACATGAAGTATGGTTTAAATTAAATAGAAACACAAGTATGCAAGCTAAGACAGTTTCAATGCACTTCACAGACACGATAAGCTTTTAAAGCATTAGTTCACTTTAAAAAAAAAAACTTTTGCTGATAATTTACTCACCCCCATGTCATCCAAGATGTCCATGTCTTTCTTTCTTCAGTCGAAAAGAAATTAAGGTTTTTGATGAAAACATTCCAGGATTTTCTCCATATAATGGACTTCAATGGGAACCAAACGGTTCAAGGTCCAAATGACCATTTCAATGCAGCTTCAAAGGGCTTTAAACGACACCAGACAATGAATAAGGGTCTTATCAAGCGAAACGATCGCTCATTTCAAAAATAAATAAAAAAAATTACGTTTTATAAGCACAAATGCTCACCTCGCTCTGTTCTGTGATGAGCGTTCGTGACTCTCCTGTTCGAACTCGTTCATCAAAATGAACAAATCTTATTCCAAGTCATTTTATTCATTTCGTTCGTTGAATAAACCAAATGACTCGAAAAAAGATTCGTTCATTTTGATTTTTGAACGAGTTTGAACAGGAGAGTCACGAACGCGCATCACAGAACAGAGCAAGGTGAGCTTATAAAACGTACAATTTTTTATTTATTTTTTAAACGACCGATCGTTTCGCTAGATAAGACCCTTATTCATCGTCTGGTGTCGTTTAAAGCCCTTTGAAGCTGCACTGAAACTCTCATTTTGACCTTGAACCGTTTGGTTCCCATTGAAGTCCATTATATGGAGAAAATCCTGGAATGTTTTCATCAAAAATCTTAATTTCTTTTCGACTGAAGAAAGAAAGACGTGGACATCTTGGATGACATGGGGGTGAGTAAATTATCAGCAAAAGTTTTTTTTTTATAAGTGAACTACTCCTTTAAGTGTTTAGGTATTGATTGTTGGCACATGGCAGTGCAGGCATCCGTCAATATGTACTAAGGTGACCAGCAATGCACTCTGGTTCTTGTTTATTCCACTACATAAAAGCAAACGAATGTTGTGTATTCCTCTGGTCTTGACTTACGGCGTATCGCTCTGAGGCGAGGGATGACCCCTGGGCTGGCTGGAGGAGTCGTGCTTTCGCTCCCCTGACCTTTCCTCTTGTCCACGCTGGGTGACGCCTGCACCGTGATCTTATGCTCGAAACCTAAAACGGACACAGGCTTAACTGACGTTCACACCAAGGACAATGACTATTGTCTATCCAGCTCTCATATTTAATCAAAAATATCTTAATTTGTGTTTGAAAAGTCTTACGGGTTTGGAACAACATGAGGGCGAGTAATTACTGACAGAATTTTCATTTTGGGGTGAACCGGCCCTTTAAGGACATATTGATTTGGACTTTTTTCCAGGCATTACAATTTACAATCTGTAAATTATTTTATGGCTTCCTTTTAAATTTGATTTGGATTTGCATCGTATGGTAAAAATACACCACATTTATTGAAAAATAACAATGATTTGATTAAAAACAACTATATATAGTTAGATTCCCATTCCACCCACCAGATGGCAGACTGATGCAGTTGCTGTCCCTGCCGAGTTTAAGCAGTCTGCTCTTTTTGAAGTGGCCTTTGCGTTTTTTAACATGCGGTTTCTCCTGATACATCTGATGGATGATGATGTTGAGCTCTCTCTCTACAATGTCGATCTCCCGCTCGGCTAACTCCTGCTCGCGCCTCCTCAGGTGCTCCTCTTGCTCCCTCTGCTCCTCAGCGGCCCGTGCCAGAGTCTCCTCCCAGGATCGCAACTCCTAATGAACAGGCAGTTATTTACACCACTAATCCACTACGCCTAAGGTATTGCTTCTCATATCCTTAGTGTCATTTTTTTAAGGTGTAGATGATGCGATTTTTCCACGGATTAGGCTAATTTGTATATTGGTTCAGAATACTTGTGTAAACATAGGGTATCTTAATCACACAAAATCTCTACTGTATCTTTATTAAATCCTAATTTATTTATCAAATATCAACCTGTAAATGTGTACACTACCTTTCAAAGGTTTGGGTCCATAAGATTTTTTCCCCCCACAGTATTACTGTATTTTTTTACAAAAAAAAAAATTAACAAATTAATACTTTTATTAAGCAAGGATGCATTAAATCTGATCAAAAGTGTCAGTAAAGACTTTTACACTGTTGATGTCTAAATAATAAATGCTGTTCTTTTGAACTTTCTATATTTCAGAGAATCTTGTGCATGTATCACGGTTTCCACAAAATGTTAAGCATACAATATTTTCAACATTGATAATAATAAGAAATATTTCTTGAAAACCAAATCAGCATTTAATTTTTTTTTTGCACATTTCAATGATTTCTGAAGGAACGTTATTTTTTAAATACGATTGTAATTACTTTATTAATTAAAAAGTTAAACAGTTATTTTAAATTGTAATATTATGCTACAATATTACCGTTTTTATATGTATTTTCGATCAAATAAATGACTAGACGAACATAAGACGTTAAAAAAATTTATTGACCTTAAACTTTTGAACAGTACTATACTTTTAAAATTATTTTGAACTTATTTTTAATTTTAAAAATGATAATTTAAAAACTTGATGCAACTTTTATGTGACCTGGTTTTAAAAATAGTAGATTAATATAAATTATTATATAAATATTATGGTATTTTTTGGTAACTGACAGTAAAAAAAATTAAGCAAAATTGTACTGTATTATTATAGACATTTTATTTGAAAGTGAAAAACAAACTTGACAGCACTTTGAAATGACATTTAGTATGTAGTATTTCTTGTGTAAACAGTGTAAATATCAACTGAAACATGAATTAAACTATTGCACTAAAAATATTTCAGGAGTCCAGAGCAAGCTACCGGTAGGCCATTAAATCCCTGAGATGCACCAGACGTGAAACAAACATCTATTAATGGCCCATACCTTCTCCTTTGCTCGTAGTTCATCAAACATCTGCTGGATCTCCAGCCTCCAGTCTTCCTGCAGGGAATGGAAAGACTCCAGGGGCATCTGGAACATGGCTGATTGCTCAATGTCCAGCAGTCTCTTGAGGATACTCCCGAAACAAGGACGTCCATGTGGGTTAGGACACCAACACTCTACAGAGAGAGAGAAAAGGTAGGATGATTCTCAACTCTAAGCAAAAGATGCTTTCCAACAGGTTTTATCATAGTTTTTGTCCAACTTGAACTCAAAACTACGATAAAAAGCTGTTGAAAGCATCTTTTGCAGCGATTTTTGTGTGAGCACCCCAGACCACTCGGTGAGTTTCACGTCTTTGTAAACTAAAGTTGAATGCGCTTTATGAGGGATTGTTCCAGTGCACCTATGCAACCATTGTGGAGGTGGGCGGGTGAACCACAGAAACTTCTCGGGACAGCAGCATGTGTCCAAGGCTCAATCCCAATTCACCCCTTGCCCCTACCCTTGGGAGTCCTGATTCTTGGGGCCTGATTTCCGAGGTCATGGCTCCTAAACGTACAGTGAGAGAGCTTCGAATACGACGGTAGTCACGATCTTGTGTCCAAAGATCATTTTCATTTTCAGTGTCAGAGATTTATCATGATCATCTCACAGTGTGTTTGCAACATGAAATGGCGTATTGATCTATGCGACTTGAAAACTTAAAGAGCCCCTATCATGGATTTTTGAAAATGACTCATATGGTGTGGAATATAACTCTAAGGGAATGAAAACATCCTGCAAAGATTTATATCTGAAAGTGCACTGTATATAAAGTTATTGTCTTTCAAAAGTGAGAGTCGACTCTGAGTCTATGAAATGAATTGTTTTTGAAACGAGTCATTAGCTGGTTTGTCGTGACGTAGAGGCATACTGGCCGCGCGCAGACGGAAGTGTAAACTTGAAGTCTACACATTCAAATACTTCATCATAGCATCATGTCGAGAAGACGCTGTGTTCTACAATGCAAAGATAGTTCAGCCACTTTGTTTTTTTTATTTACCAGGGACGAGCATGTGAAGAATCGGTGGTTAGAGTTCATATTTGCAACAATACCACAAAAGTATAGCCCGATTGTGTTCTCATCATTTTAATTAATTAATCGTTCAAAAACATAAATTAATTCAAATGTGGATTCGCAAGCGGTTGTTCCTGATCAGCTTCCTCCTATGAATCACAACCTGTAAGTATTATTAATAATTGTTGCTTTTATGGGTTTTGAACGGTTTTTGTAGCGTCGGGCGCAAGGAGGGAAGGCGCGATAAGTATGTGTGTGCGCGCGTGTGTGTGTAAGTTACGCTCAGCGCAGCTTCTAGGTCTCCAATGTCAATTTTTTTAAATATGTGAAATGTTTGTCGCTGTTATTGGAGTTGTCATAAAGAATAGAGCGTCTAGTAGTACTGCAGTGCTTTATCAATATGTTTATGCGTTATGCTAAAAAACAATAACTGACTGGGTCTGTCATCTGACCAATCACCGCCGATTAGCGTCACGCAAAGGAGTGGTTTGGAAAAATGAGTCGTTGTACGAATCATTTGGGAGTCGGTGAGCAAATCAGTTAAAAATAAATGCATATTATAAGACAAATAAAGTGTTTTTTATCCTTGCATGCATGTTAAACTGTTTTTGGGAACTCCTAAAACAAAAATAGGAACATTTCAAATGCTATGATAGGGGCTCTTTAAAACTGCTTTCCTCAAGCTCCATTTGCCTCGCCACGACTCATCCATATTCTCCTCTTTATTTCAGCACACATAAAAACCACAATTGCCAAAGTGTAATTCTTCTTGCTGTATTTGTTCACCACTAGCTCATGATGACGACGGTTTATTCTTCTATAATAACTAGCGTCACAGCCCTAGATTCAGTACTCATCATCATACAACAGTCTACATGCATGTGGTACCCTAGTTTATTAGATCCATGTCGTACAGTGTGATTTGTAATGATCTTATAGGATTGCTGAAATCGTACAGTCTGTAGCAGGCGTAAGTAATCCTAAAGAGCTTGATGAGCTTGTTTAGGTGTGTTTAATTAGGGTTGGAGTAAAACTCTTCAGCAGGGACGTGCACAGACATTTTAAGGGGCAGGGGCTCAAGTGAAAAAAGGGCACGTCTCATAATTTTAAAAAATTTTTATTTTACTTTTTTTTTAATCAAAAAAGTATATATATTAACACAACTCTAATATTTAAAAAAAAAAAAAAAAAGTTAATTTTATCTTCCTCAAACTCATACGATTGTTTAATTTTCAAAAGATGTCTACAAAATAATCAGTTCACACAGAAATCATGGTCTGCTTAGTTTTCATAGGTTTATAGAGCAGCAAAGGAAACCATGCCACAGTGTGTCAATCAAGTACATATTTGATGGTGACATTGACTTCACATTTGAGGGAGAAATGTAGGGCCTATCATCATCATCATCAAATAAAACCTCTGTAGATTTCTTCTAAATTCACCAATTTAGATTTCTAAACTTCAGGGGAAAGACTCTTGATGTAGCTATGCAAGTCATTAACTTTAATAATAAGAATTTTAGGCCATACAAATTCATAAAAACGTCCGGATTTTACATACAAGGCCATAAATTACATTTAGCCACGTCTTAAAATATGCTCATTCATTCATTATCACTATACAATTTTTCGCGATAAAACGATATCAAGTTCGAGTCAAAATCGTCAATACTCGATATCAATATAGAGTTCGATAAACGTTCGCTAATGTTTTTGTGTTGCAAAAGCACAACGAAACTCATTTGAAGCGCGCGACTGTTTATCCGCTCGGCTCAAAGTCCAAACGGCAGCGCGAGCTCACTAGAGGTGACGCGTTTACTCTCATCGGCGCTTCAGAACTCCTGACCTGATATTTAGATACACTATGCATTAAATATATTTGTTTGACAGGGAAACTGTGCGCAAATAGTAATATGTATTTTCTTAAAAAAATAAAATAAAAAAGCACCCCAAAGAAAAAAAGGGCACTTTCTCTCCAGGAATAAAAAGGGCAGGTGCTCAAGCCCCCTTTGATGTCTATGTGTGCACGTGCCTGCTCTTCAGGATAGTGGACCTTGAGAGCCAGAGTTGAGATCTCCTGATGTTCACACGGTTTAAGCAAAACTGTTCTTACCTCCCAGCAGCTGTGCAAAGGCCTCGGGGCAGGTGGAGGGGACGGGAAGGGTCAGCTTGTTCATGGCAACTCCATACGCCACAGCCAAAGCGTCAATTTCACGGTACGGCACCTCACCAGTCAGCAGCTCCCAGAGTAACACTCCAAAACTAACATGAAAAAGACCATAAGAACCTCTAGTTAAGCTGTAAAACACAGTCCACAGGGGAACAGCTCACCTCCATACATCGCTGCTTTTTGAAAACAGTGACAGCTTGATGACCTCTGGAGCCATCCAGGCATACGTGCCCGCCGCGCTCATCTTTGTGGTGCGATGCCATTCCCGAGCGAGCCCGAAGTCTGTGATCTTCAGGGTCTTTCCACACAGGTCGTCTCTCTCCACGGGCTCCAGAATCAGAACTGAAATGAAGAGCAGAGACATATCAAGCCAAAGTGGATTTAGGATCCATCGGTGAGATTTCTTGATTAATGAATAGTGGGAACAGTAACAACTTTTGCATGTAATATCCAGTAAGGAGTCTCAGTAACCATATCAGAAGGATGGAAAAACAACACCCTTGATTTGCAATTAAGATAAAACTGAAGTACAAATGTAACACACATTTGAGTCATATGAGAATGATGTACAGTGACACCTCAAGAAAACAAAACATAGATCTCTATAGACCTTATGAGTCAGAGAAACAAGCTGTAAAAAATGATCGTGATTTTAATGGTAAAAGACTGTAAAAATGCTACAGTGAAAAACTGTTAATTGGTTAACAGAAAGTTTCCGTCCTATATACGGTAAATAACTGTGATGGATCTAATGGTAAATTTCATGTAATTTTACTGTAAAATACTGTTAAATTTACAGTTTTTAAATGGGAAAATGAACAACTCATTGTATAATTTACAGTGAAAAAAACGTAAATTGACATTCCCACAATTCCCTGCGTGACACTCCACACTTGATGTATTATTGCTGAAATAACTTGTTTCTTCATAGTTTGCTTAGTCCTTTTTTCTAATCAGTTAGGTACATTAGAGTTTTATGTGACATTTAATGTTGTTAAATGAATGTTTATTGCCTTTTTAAAATTTCATGTGTGTTACCATGATGGTGTTTAATGTTTGAGTGAATGACACTGTGCAGCTTCTATGTTAATATTAAGTTTCTTGTAGAAGATCTACATGTCATGTGACTCTTGTTACTGCTGTGATTGATGGAGGTCAGTATATTACAATGGTATGAAACAGAAATTAACACTTCAAATGGTTGATAATTTAACAGTATATCAGATAATTGAATACGGTTTATTTCCGTAAATTTTAAGTTAAGTCTGTAAAACCTTACTACCGTAAATTCTTGCTACCGTATTTTATACGGTAAATTTCTGGCAAACACAGGTGCCGGTATTTTACTGTAAATTGAACACATTTACACTGCATCTTTATAAATTCGTGTTTGAACTTGAAGTTTATTTCTATGGCATCGCTTTCAAGTAATTAGCTGTTGACTTCAAGTGGATTTACTTATCGTTGAGTTATTGTAACGTTTGAAGCGAATGCCATAACAAATTTAACAAAGATTTTAAAGCGGGCGCTTCATGCATAAATCCGTAAGATCTTACTTTCGTGCTGTGGTAATACAAACCGGAAGACAGAACACAAAAGGGGCGGAGCTACATACGGTCCTCGTTCTTGTATTGTTTTGAACTGGCATTACCAACCCATTTTAACTTTAGCATGTGACGTATTTCTGAGTGAAGCCATATGTTCAGCGGGAACAAAATATAGGACGGGATTCAATTGGACCATGAAGAGTGACAAAAAAACGATCCTTCAGAAATCATTATATGCCGATTTGCTGCCGAAGAAACATTTCTTATCAATATTTAACCATTGTGCTGCTTCATATTTTTGTGGAATCCATTTTAATAAGTTCAAAAAAAGAGCATTTAATTGAAATGGAAATCATTCTAGCTGAAAAGTATTAAAAATCATACTAACCCCTTACGTTTAAACAGCAGTGTACATAATGAAAATATAGAATCAATTATTAAGAAAGTAATAAATTGAAGTGGGTCACTCAGCAAAATGAAGACTTCTAGACTTTTGGAGGGAGTTAAGAGCTCTACACTATATCAAATATTTATCAGACAGTAGCATGTGTGCAGGGAAGAGAAACACGATCTCTTAAACACACACACACACGAGCTCTCTCTTTCACGTAACTAAGGTAAAGTGCACACTCATCTAAACACAACACAAGCTTAGTTTTACATCCCAATCCGAGGCACATGACGAGCTTTAATCTACACACGCATACACAGAACAGACAGGCGCCAGTAAATTGCATGTGGAGCACAATGTCAATATTTCACAGAAGTGGCATTAGAGGATAGCGACCAATCCTGGCATTGTTATCCATGAATTCGGACCTGTTTACTGAAACTGCTAGCACCCACATGCTTAGTTTATTAGAACAAGAATTATATAAGTCAACAGGTCAGGTACATAAGACAATAACAGATGGGAAACACTGTCACGCCACATTCATCCACATGAGATTATACAGTTGGCATAAAGACTTGAAAGTCTTTCTAAAAAAAAGTTTGTAAATAAATATGAAATCAAAATAATACAATACACTGTTTTATGACTTTTTTCATACATATTTTAAAGTTATAAATTAAATAGGCTAAATGTTGACCTGGTTTTCAAGATTAGGATGTTGAATAATTAGTTTGTTTTGTGAATAATAGGGGAATTAAGTTGCGACTTAGTGCGACTTTATACAACACTTAGTGTATTTAAAAGCGATTGTGTGCGGTTGATAAATAATTAACATTTAAAATTCAGCTGCCAGTCATTAATATTCAGAAATATGGGAAATATATTGTATATACTGCATTTTACATACTTCCTCTAGAATATAGCAAATACACTGTAAAAAAAAATATTGTTGGTTTAACTTAAAAAAGTAAGTAGCCTGGGTTGCCTTAATATTTTAAGTTCATTGAACTTGAAAAAATGAGTTAACACAATGAAGGAGATTAATTTAACCATCTGAAACTCAAAATGATATGTTATCTGAACTAAATAAATTATTTAAGTTGATTTGACAAAAGAAAAAATGTAATTACAAATCATGAAAGATTTGTTTTTCCAAACTGTTTGGAGCAATTTGTTATATTTTTGTATATTTTTGAAATATAAGTAGGCTATATTTGATGTGATGAATTGCTCTGTCATTTATGACATTTACCAATTGTTATAATTTCAATTTGTGTTGGTTAATTATGAACAATGGCTAAAAGTGGGGGGCGGGGCTCCATTGGGGCTCCTCCCCTAACCGCATGTGATCTCACTCAAAGCTTTTGATAAAACTTGAGAAACCTGACGTTTTTCCCTATGGTATTGTGTCAAAATTGTGGCCAGTAAAAATGCTAAGTGGCTAGTAACTTTGAAAGCACAAAAAAGTTAATGTCAAGCCCTGTAAATATATTTTGACCACATATATACACATTTACATGTAAATGCGTGATTGTGTATGAGAGAGCGATGCTAGTTTGTGGTGCCCTGCTGTGTTTCCTCCTGTGTTTCCGTGTGCGGGCAGGCTATGGAAATGTTTGGAGTGTCAATAGTCAGCTGGACTGGTTTGAGTGGGGTGGGGAAGGGTGGAGTGCCGTCTGCTGCTCCATTATCACCACACATATGCAAACGGGAGCAAAGAGAGACAGGAAGGGAACACAGCTGAGTTTCTGTTTGACTAGCACATCACAAGCTCAGGTTGAACAGGTGGAACCTTTCTCTATTTCCCACATCCATTCACATGCTCGGGTGTGAGAGAATATCATGAATATTGGGATATTATGTTTGGCGATAATTGATTCTCAAAAAACACTGTAGCGATATATATATATATATACAGAGATAGATTTGTGGAAGTGGCTGTTTTCAGTTTCATCCTCAACCGCTAAATGGCATTGTTGTCATCTCTGAACATGACAATTCCACAGACAGGGCTTAGATTAAGCCAGGATTAGGCCTTAGTTTAATTAGGAGATTTAAGTAGCTTATAAAAAAGCACATTACTGGTGTGTATCTTGAGACAAAACAGTGGAAGTGACGTATTTTACGATATTTCACTGCAAGTTGTGTTCAGTTAAAACAGCTCAAACATGCATTTTACGCTGAGACTAGCTTAAGCTTTGACTTATCGGTAACACTTTACTTGAAGCGGTGTGCAAAAGACTAACATGACATATGTTTTATGCATGTTTGTGACAACTGTCATTAAGTGTCATTCGCTCAGTTATGACTTTTTTAATGCAAATATGACATTGTTTGAGATGTCTTTGTTATGACACCTTGTCATAAACCAACACATCATAATAACCTGTCAGTGTCTTTGTCATGACAACTTGACATTACTAAGACAACAAAACATGACATAGCAGATTAATTATCAAACTTAAGAAAGCAGCTAGCTTTATTGGTTAACATTACATTAAACTGTCATCTGGTTAGTTTTGACATTGGCTGTCATGAAGCTGAAAAATATTCATGACACAGTTATAATGCCTCATGACAGCCAATGTTAAAGCCAACCGCATGACAGTTTAACTTCATTTAATGTCAAGTTAAAGAGATCTTAAACTGTCATATTTGCATTCAAAATGTTATTATTGAGCGAAAGTCACTTAATGACAGTTGTCATAAACATGCATAAACCCTACTTCATATTATGTCATGTCATGGTTATGAAGGTTTCCTGTCAGTCTTATGCACACCCATGAAGTCACAATTAACACGTCACCGGTAAACCCGTACCATCCGCGCTGCTGAGAGCGACGTTTAGATTAATATGTAAATGCTTTTCTCTCAGTAATAAAATAAACACAAACACTGACAAAAAAAAAGCAGTTGAGAGTGTAAGCCTTTGTAATATAATATAGTATAATAATATATTATAAAAATAATATATTAAAAGTAAAAGTAAAAACAATTTTTATTGTTTAAATAAATTAGGGTGTAATAAATATACCCTAATTTATGAAATTCATAAATATTTGATGAAAGTAATGAATACTATCATTCCTTATCAAAAGATGTTCTGTTTTTGTGTTCAAACAAGGACATGCTTTCTGCTTAAAATATGTTCTTAGAAGTTTGACAGCCACCGAGGCAAAGCAGTGAGTCAAGAGACAAGCCAAAAAATAAATAAAAAATCTGTCAGAGGAACAACAACAACAAAAATACACATTCAACCACATCAAAAACAAGTTCTAATATTGGCAGCTTTGCTTCTTAGGTCAATTATTTTTAGCGGTGTAACGATACCGTCATGTCACGATTCGATACATATCACGATACTGAGCTCACGATACGATATTATTGCGTTAGTCCTACAT